CTAGCTACAAAGGTCTTGTAGGTTATCCAAAGTACATACCGTATCGTATGTCTCCTTCTGCTGATATAGTTTAACCCTAGATTATAAAGTACCCCTGTAGTACACGTAACATCTTACTATTGCCCAGAGTTTTTAACACATCTTGAAGGCACCAAAAAACCTTCTGACTGGGCAGAAATGATATTAAGAGAGAGAACAACACCAAATATTACAAGGATCATAACTCATAAAGCTCTTGGGGAAAAAATTAGTCATAATTGAAGATGCAAGTATTGGTATAAAGCTTGTAATAGGTATGTCACACCCTCAGCATGTATAAAAATGTCCAAATACAACCATTATATATCATAAGCACTCCACCTTCTCAAATCTGATGAGCCCTGCCACTCATGCTTATATAAAAACGAAAGCATGTGTGGGCCATGGTACTGACTGACTTATCACATGGGTGATGATCTCATCCAAATGAAAACCTTTTTCATTTACTAAGCACACCAATCACACTTCCCCTGCATTTCTCCACCTAGCTACAGATAATTGAATCAATGTGATTTAATTGATATGTGTAATAATATGGACAGTTCTGCAAAAAGCTCTGAAGAATTCTAGTTGTTTCATAGGAATATAGAGAATAGAAAGTATATAGAATAGAAAGCAGCACATGCACATTTTTTTGGCTCCAACTTGGGATGCCCTAACATGATGCCTCAATTCCAAACTTCTGTTTATACCGCATTTCATTGTCTTCAAGCTCCCTGTACACTTCAGTGTATCTCTAGATAGATGACAGCCAGACACAGATGACAGCAAATATACATTACAATGGTGACACAAGAGCAATTTCACACTGAACAAAACAGACTTCCCATTTTAAGGAGTATTAAGCTCTTAGACTATAAAATCAAAAACAACAAAAAATCCTCCCTTGTTTTCTGATCAACATTTCTCAAATATACTGCTGAGATCAAGATTTTAAAAATAGGAAAATTTAGTTAGGCAAGACATTGTAAGATATGAGACCATGAAAAATTGTATTTATTTTTTAAAGTTGTTCTTTTTTAATCTAGTCTTAATTTCAAAAATCTTATGGAAAGATAATTTGGTTTTTAAATCCACTATTCTGTAACAAGAGCTAGAGTACAGATACTGAGCTTCATGAAAGATAACAAACATTGGGGTAGTTGAGGTCATCCCTGTTTAAAAATTTCATTTCATGAAAAAGTTTCAAGAACAGTCTGACTTTTCACATTCCAATTAAATGGAATAAAATGGAATAAGATAGTCTTCAGACTGCAACACTGTCATTATGGTCTGACAGTATTTTTAAGAGAGACTTTACTGACAGTCCACGAAAGCTCCAGGACTGCAAACACAGAGTGATTCAAAGCCTAGAGCTTTTTTTTTTTACCATCGTCCTCCTCTCTTTATAAAGCAGCACAGTTGACCAGACAAGCCACAGCCTTCCTTCAAGCTGTAACCTCTTCAATAAGCACTTTGTAAAATGTGAAACCCACAAAGACCAAGTACTTCTATAGACACAGGTACACAGACGTGGATATATGTTGCTCTAAGATGGCCAATGGATGAAAGAAATCAAATGCCTCCATCTGCGCCACGTATACCCTAGACCCCTGTTCAACAGGCCCTGCTCCGTCCCTCAGCGCTGCTACAGTGGCTACGGTACCAGATTTTTCCCAACCAGCCCATTCGTTCCAAAGCCACTAACTCTCCTGACACTGGTGCCTCCATGCATCTGTGGGCAGTGAGCACGGGAGGTCTCTGCTGAACGAAATAAACACACCCCACTGCCTGGAATCAGGGAACTACTCATCACCTGCAAGTGTAAGCAGAGCTGCGACACCAGCCCTCACTTGGCTAGAGAAATAAGCCAGACGGTGCTTATTCAAGCCCACACAGCAACTCTGCACAGTCACATGCTTTTCCCAAACAGGCACACTCAGAAGTCACAGCCAGTGCAGAATTCACTGATTCTTAACTAGGCAAGAATATTCCTCCCTCTCCACAGTATGCAGCTAAAGTACTTTCACAACCATATGCCATAAAGAGGTAATTTATTGTCCAAATGCAAACCTTCAGAACATCTGTCTACCGGGCCTCTCCATAAATTCATATAAAACTATCAAGCCCCTGGCTTACAGCACTGCAGAACCACATTGAGCAGTGTTTCAGCCACTCTCCAGATCCTTCAGTATTTTGGATACTGTCCAAGAAGTAATTAATAGAGTCAACACATTCCCAGTATTTGCTGTTGATTCTGAACACAAAATTGTCTCCTTTGAGAGTACTGAAATGCGAAACACGTGAAATCACATTGGAGCCTTCCGATGTGGAACTCACACGGTATTCACTGTGGAAAATAAAATCTCATCAGCCCTTATTCAAGCTGGATAATAATCTATTTTCTGTCAGAGCCAAGGATGTTTTTAAAAAAACAAACGTGCCATCTCCTCCAATTATGAAAACAAAGAGCTACTTCTACAAAGCTTTATTTTAAAGCAGTATCAAAATAATGTAAATAACACACTGGAAGCACCACGGTGCAATATGAGATTCATATAATCCAGTTACCTAACACCCAATCACTGCAGAAGGGAAGAAATCTGCAGTTTGTGTGGTGCTTACAAAACAGCTGTTCTCACAGTCAATGGAGGAGCAAAGCCCTGTGCTTACTTTTGGAAGATCTACACAGGAATGGCATCAGAACGGATTTGTCTGTCTCTGTACCTCACCTCCAGCTAAAAGGGTCATTTGGTCCATTACACCCCTGCAACGTCCTGCCCGTTGAGCTTGCCCACACAGATGCCAGTTGGTGGCTCATTCCCTCCACACAAGAAGCCACAGCACTCAGATAAAGTTTTGACTGTCCTCTCCAGAAGCACTGTGCAGGCATTTGCAATGGTGCTGCCAGTGCTACCCATCTCTGTGATGCACAGCCACACAACCAAGCAAGCCACTGTCAGATATGAATGCAATATCCTGACATTATCAAGTCAGCCAGAAGGCAACTCTGTGTGGAAGGATCTGTAGCAGTCAGTGCACTACAGAGGTGACACAGATATGAGGGGAAAACGGAGAACTGTCAGGAGAGAGGAACACCTTAGAAGCATTCCAACGGAACCAACTGTGTTTTCTTGAAGACTAATTTTTTTATTTACAGTTCAGAAATGAACACCGGTTTGCTGCATACCCAGTTTCTTCCTATCCATACCCAAACATGGTCCTTGCAAAGAGGTAGGTATTACCAGACACTGAGGCTAAGCCTTGGCCACCTGAGTGTTACTTGTATCGAGCTACTGTAATGCTCTTGACTTTTGAAAATCAGAATGTTAACGCATGCTTTATTCAAACCTTTAAAAACATTGATGTCTAAGTGTTGTTTTACAGATGCCTGAGTATCTCTGAGATATGTTAACGCATGCTTTATTCAAACCTTTAAAGACATTGATGTCTAAGTGTTGTTTTACAGATGTCTGAGTATCTCTGAGATAGCTCATGAAAATAATCTAAAATAAATTGTTCATGATCTTGAATTTACTTCACACATGAAAGATTTTTAGGGCTCGGTGAAATAACAAATACCAATGCATTTGCCTCAGCCTGCTGAATTTTTTGTCAGGACTATCAATTTCTTATGAATAGCCCCCTCAAACAAGCTTCTTAGTATGAAAGAGCACTCACTTTGGTGGAAGGAAAAAATAGAGAAAAGAGATGTATTCTTTCCTAATGCAATGCCATCTCTTCACTCATTCAACTTCTTCTCTTTCTAGGTATTCTATGAGATAGCTCATGAAAATAATCTAAAATAAATTGTTCATGATCTTGAATTTACTTCACACATGAAAGATTTTTAGGGCTCGGTGAAATAACAAATACCAATGCATTTGCCTCAGGTTTTTTATCTTGCAAAATTAGGTAGCCCTTCTAGTCTTCAACAGGAGAAGGTAACAACATTTAAAAACAAAAAAACAAACAGACAACAAGCAACTAACTCTCTGCAACTGAGTTTAAGCAAGTCCCCTAACTACTGGATATGTAAATGAAATAAATGTTTTCCCCCCCCCTACTAAATGAATACAGGAAGTACACAATTTTCAAATTAGTCTTTGCTATTCCAGTACCAGATACCAAAACTTCATTACCCAGTTGTAATTACTTCCACTTCGTTATGTAGTTTACAGGTAAAGAGGGAGAGGAAGACTATGGTTCCATGATGGTTAAAACACACGTGGCACTTGGCAGAACAAGCAGTGCTGATTAGGCAAGGACACATGGCTGCATCTTTGTTGAATCAGACAGGGAACTTTGTATCGTGCTTTTGCTAGCTTTATACAGACAGGTTCATGGAGGAGAGCATAAAGCATGCCAGCACAAGTTTAACCTGCCAGGAATTTTGCAAGGCATTTGAACCATCAGAAGGAATTTATATCCCACAAAAACTCTGTGGTCAAATGATGAGATTTGAAGAGAAAATAAAGTGGAACCAGGAGGGGAGAAGAGGAGAAAAAGAGAATGAATGGTGGCAGGTGGTGGAGGGGAACGTAATCCTAAATAACTAGGTTGGGCAGAAAATGATTCTTGAAGCAGGAAGAGACAGATCAAGGGAAGAGGCAATCTTTCAAATACATTTGGCTTATTTAGAAATACAGCCACATGGTACCAAGTGACAAGTAAAGCAACAAGCTCATTTCTGAAGCAAAGTGGTGGCACTAAGGAGTCAGGGAAAGTAACATTCCAAGATACTCGGTTGAGTTTCTTGCAAAGGAAAAATTGGGTTGGTTTCTCCTTCTGCACCTGGACATCCTTCAATAACCTCACAATGTGAGCCCTGTCCTGCCCTCCCACTGCAGAAATCAATAAACAGCACCCACTCTTCCTACAAAAATAATAAAACAATAAATTAAAAAATGCCATCACACAGTCATGGTACAAACCAGCTCTTGTGAAAGGGAACAAGGGAAAACACAAGTGTTGCTACTTACATTCTTGTATTGCTGGTCTTGTTGATAATTACAGATTTTCCAGTCTGATCCACATTGTGATCCATTCCAAAGTAAGCAGCCACTCTGTGCACTAACATCCTCTGATATGATGACATCTGAGGGAACTTTTTATAGTGATTACTAGAAAAAAAACCACAAAAATAAAACTCACTGATAATTACATTTCCCTCTGAGCTATAACTAAATTAAAACAGCGATACATTTGATAAATTCAGTGGAAGGAAATGTAACTGAAAATTTCTCCTCTGTGCATTTACATATAAATGTTCGCTACAAGAAGACAGGAAAAAAAGACATTGTTTTTAGAGTTTCTAATAAGCACATTTCCATGCACTGCAATAGGACAAACAAAGCTCATGCTTCATGGTATTCACTGAGCCTTCTGTACATTGGGAAGAACTCGTCCCCCGACGCTGCACACACACTCAACACTCCCTGCACAAACAATCCTGCAGACTTGCTGAGACACTGGCAACAGCTTTGTGCCTTTCTCCCAAAGGTCAGATGCAGGGCGATGCTGGAAAGAGCGAGTTAGGCAATGCTTCTTTTTTTTCCCTCTTTTACTAACAAAATGCTTATCTCCCGTCAGCATAATTTCTTCCTCTGCTGCTCTTCTGACTCTCTTATTTTTTTAAAGCTGCAGAAACATTTTATTATAAAGAGGTCATGGTTGCAATAACCCGTCCACCCAAGTTCAGTTTTATTTTCCAATGCATTAGGACAATATAGCACACAGGGAAATCCATCAGACAGCATATTTGATCAATCTCTGCACTGAAAGCTTTAATTACATTTTTTTACCTAAATGAGCAAAGCCAATGCAATGATGACACAATGAAAAGAGAAAGAACTTATATATACACACTATATTTTAAGCAGTACCATCACAGGTCAGGAGATAAAAGCCCGGCCTTGCAGTGTGCCAGTGCAGTCCATATGAGCACATCCCTCACACAGCTCACATTGCTAACATGCACACATGACTTGATAACCAAGGAGGGAACTTGACTTACTTGTTGTCACTAATAAAATCAATAATTTCCTGTTCCATCTTCAAGAGTATCATTCTGTCCCTGTGTAAAAGAAAAGCAAGGATTTGTAGCATCAACTACCAACAGACATTTTAGATGAAAAAAAATAATATATCAAAGTTTGTAAGGCAATTCCAAAAGCGTTGTCAGCCACCTTGATTAAAAATGAAAGGAGTTTTAGCCCTGGCTCACTTGGAGAAGATTGCAGCCTGCTCTGCTGCAGCTACACTGATGTACATGACAGATGTAGGTAGCTCTTCCCGATGGTCTGAGTCTGCTTCCAGCCACACCAGGCGGTGATCAACCTATTGCACATAAAGACTGACTGCTATGGATACCTTTAGTCCTTTTTCACCCTTTTTGGATGGAAAATGAGATTTCCAGCTAACCTAGCTCTTTGATGAGAGGAGCTGTTACCCACAGAAACTCAACATTTTGCTTGAGACGTACCTTCCATGAGGCATTAATCTGTAGGTGAGGAGCCTGGGCACATCTAATCTAGTTAAGAAGCACAATGGAGAACAACGCCCTTGAACTATGGCTCCGAGGAGGCAATGCTGCAGCATTTCTCCATCAAAATGCTCTGGTTTTAAATGGAAGGTCTCAGGTGTTCCTTACACCTCCCCTTTCTTTCCCGCTAAAGCCACTGAAAAATTTCCCCAGCATATATCCACACACACTTTTTTTCCTAAGCTTGATAGCGTCCATCACTCTCGTTCTTTTGAACTTGCTCATTTTGTGCAGATAAAACAACACAAGGACCTTCCATCGTCTATGCAAGAGGTTAAGCAAGTTGCTAGGTACCCAATTCTTGCTAGCTCTGCTGTAATTGCAGAATTACACAGTACCTATTTAACAGCTTCAATTGAAATGAATGCTAAAATCACAACGTACAGAAACATTACAAATCCTTCCTTAGACATTTAGAGGCAAATTGAAGGGTGATATGAGCTTGTTGCTCCAATACCAAGAGCAGAATCTGGCACTGTGCAGAGGATTTTCATTGTGTACAGCATTGCCAAAAGAAAGCTATAAATCTCCATCTGCAATGGTTATAATACATTACTGCTAACATGATGTAGAGAGCTGTATGCAACAAGGCAAGGACAAAGACCAGATGTTACTGAAAATTAAATTAAGAAATAGGTGATTGGACTGGGGAGAAGGTGATGAATCTTATAGCTTTTTACTTAGTTAACAGCCTGCCTCCTTTACATTTTCCTTTATAATTGTATACAGTTACAAGAGCTCAAAGACCACTAGCTATAGTAAGAGCAGTGTCAGCTCTACTGCAAAATATACCTACCTGGGATTATTCTTTAACGTGTTAATGAGAAACTCATGCAAATCTATGCCTGTTGAGTCTGTATACTCTTGACTGCAATCTGAAAAATAAAAACAAACACCCCTGCTCATTTGTTTCATTTCAACAATTACGATTATGCTATTCTATAAACAAAAATCAGTTTTCCAGCAACAATGTGAAAGCATATGCCCTGAAAGAAAATGTGAAAGCATATGCTCTGAAAGAAAATGTTCCCTTAGAGTTCACCCAAGAGGCTTGGAAACATGGGCTTGATATTAACAGTTCCTCTGCACTGTTCTGTTGAGAACACAGGACCACTATTAGATGCCAAGATAAACTGCTGGTCATGTGAAAAGCACAGGAAACCTTCAATGCCATTCAAGACTCTGCCAAGGTATTCTTTTTAACTACTAAATCAAGTTTTTAACAATGGAAAAAAATTTTAAAAAGTTCTATTCATCATTTATCTTTGCATCACTTAATAAATGTCATACACATGGCAAATGAAGCATCGTGCCAGTGGGAATTCTATTTGCATTAAAAGACTGATATCCAGTGACACACGAGAGTGGGTGGGTAACAGGGATGCGTGACACTAGTCAGAATTAATTTTTCAGCATTGCTGTATTGCCTGACTCAAAAACACACACAGATCCTCAAGCTGGCATGAACTGAGAGAGTTTATTGAAGCCAACTGACAATTCACACCAGCTGCCAAACCCAGGTAGGCAATGATTATTTTTGAAAGACTACACTGCCATGTAGTCTTTCTACCATGGATTCATAAAACAATTAAAATAAAACAAACCCAAATTCAGATATAAGATCTTTTCTGAAGAAGACTTAGTAGGTAAAAATAGCAGATTGCAATGTGCAGTGCAGGTTAAAGGTCATGGGTGGATTTCATTACAGCATTAAAGATAAATTTTCCATATGAGAAGAGCAATAATAAGGAGTATTACTCTCTGTTGCCTGTATTGTACAAATGATGTCAGTATATCATCATTAACAGAGAAAACAGTGTATTAAATTCTTACAGTCATCTTACTGTATCATCACACAATTGTAAATGTGTTTATAGCAACATGGTTAAGTATTCAAAAGAATGATTTTACATTCTAGAAAAATAATAACCTCCAATACCAAACCTTGGTTTGGAAGGTTTCTTTACTTCAAAACTGGTGTTTGTATGAAAAACACTCGCATGCACACACGTTTCAGGTTCAGAATTTTCTCAGTGTATGAAAACTCTTCTGCTGTGTATTGATATATTAAGAAATGCACACTTGTAAAAAAATATCCTTTTTGTAACAGTAATTATAGCTATTTAAATATTTTTAAGTTCACCTTTTGATAACATTCTGATCTTGTTCTTTTCACTGTTTTTATCTTTAATTTTATCCTTCTCTTTTTCTTTCTCGGAGTCATCTTTACTAGATTTATCTTCTTCTTGCAAGCTAGGAAAACTTGAAAGCTGTAGTTGGATTGATTCCTGTTGGGAAAAAAAACAACAAAGATAAACTTACAGCCAGATTCAGTAAGCCGCCCATGGGTTCCAGCCTGGAGAGATTTTCATTCAACTGTATGTAGCTAGAAAAGCTGAAGCCAGATACATTTCTTTCCTATTTGAAAAATTATTTTTTCCAAGGCAATAATGACATCTTAGAGGCCAAATGCTAGCAGTTAAGTGTATTTTTGCCCTAATGTTTGAATACTATAAGCTTTTAGTCTACCTATATTAAAGGCACTGTATTATTATACACTTCAGTAATTCACACTTAAGTCATGTTAGAACAGTGAAATACATTTTGTGGGGGCTTTCTTCAGAAAATTTATAATTTAGTAAATCCAACACATTAAATTACAATTGGTGGATAGATACCTGAAAAAAAAAAAAGTAATTTTTTTTCTTCCCCTGACTAAAAAACCTGCAGGTTCATATGAACTGTTTGGCAAATAGAAGTGCAGTATCAGCCAGACTGAGCTTTCAGACTCTAGTAGTAGAAGAATATAAGAAAAGTCTATGCTCAGTTGTATACAAGAAGGCCTTCTAGCTTATAAGGTACGTTTTATTTGAAGACATATACAAACATGCCCTTACTAAAAGTACTGAAGCGTGCACTGTGATCTTCAAACAAGTTGTGGTATGTTAACTTCTCAAGGCATCACAAGTTTTATGCTCAAAACTTCAGTATTTCAGAGACTGTGAGTCCCCTTTTGAAAACATGCTTCATCTTTAAGAAGTTAATTAAAATTGAGAATTCAAGCTGGTTTGTGTTTTTCAATTAGCTTTAAAGAACTTGATATTCCTGACTTAAAACGTGACTTTATATTGGCTTTAACCAAACACAAATTGTTTTCTTTTGAAGTTACCATGGCATAATTTCTGAATTTCAAGAAATACCTATCTGGTTGGACAAAATTTAAGAAAGCATGCTTCTGTGTTCATGGTCTTCTGAAAACAAATGGCCAAAATAATATTATATACTTAAATAGTGTAAAAATGCACCTTTCAATTTAGGCGTTGCAAAACTCCCTGGTAATGCAGTTTTCTTTAATAGAGGAGAGTTCTGCGTGCCTGATGTTTTGGCATCATGTTAATGAAAACAAAATTTACCAACACTGGAGTAAATCAGGTTCTTGAACGCGAATATATTCCCTTTCTTCAAAAGTTTTCAAATATAGTATTACTAGCATACCAAAAGATCAATACAAAGCTTTAATGGGGTGGGCTTTTTAAGCAACCAGACCACTACGAATTCAAAAGATGCCTTCAATAATCATTACAAATTTTATGTTTCCGATTTTTTTAACACATTAGCCACCACAAAACATGTAAGACAAGATCCTAACAGAACAAGATATTAGCATAAACATGCCACAGTAAGACAGAAATTGAGTAGTTTCTCAGCTTACTCATTATCAACTTTTTGTGAAGTTCAAATGTGGCACAAAAGACTTGAGATGAAAAGCACCATGAAAGAGAAACAAAGCCTTAGAGTGAAAATTTAACCTGACCTACTGTCCTTAATCCCTACTTCTGTTAGTTTTGGCTGA